GTTTTTTCTCTTTTTTTTTTTGTTTAAAAATTGATTATGGGTTTATAAAATAAATGATAATGACTGTTCTATCGGGGATTGGTGAGAATGCATTTTTCAATAACTAGAAGATGTGGTGGAATGTGAGCCTTGATTTCTTTGATAATTGTGGGTGTGATTTTTTTTATCTCCACATTTAATATTGTCTCGAAACATTTAACAACTTATAAGAAAATTTTATGAACTAATGTTTGACATATATATTTTTTTAATACCTACTCTATTACGTACTCAACTACATCATGGCACGTGCTTCTAACTAGTAGTGTGTAAAATGTGAAATTGACATGCTTGATGCTTTGTCGAATCATAGGTCCATAACAATCTACATCTATTTAATAACAAATCATTTTTTTTTTCAATAACTTAGAGATTATTTTACATTAAAGCATGCTTATTTTGCTATACTCTTCGGGCTATTCCAAAGCTTGTCGTGATAATTTTGATCCTACTTCTTCGTCACTTAAAACCTTGTATCGAGATTATATAATTGATACACTCGTTAAATTAAAAGAGTATAAAGTTTCTAGAGAGTTTCAACATGTCAAATATCGCTTTTAAAATGCTTCTTTTAAGCATACACACATACTTCCAACAAGATAAGAAAAAGTACATTTTAAATCACACCAAACATGCCTTGTAAATTTGCATTAAAACACTCTTAGGCATAATAATTGTAATTTAAATTATTCGAACATAGCTAGACACTTGGTGTACTCAATTATCACCTCCAATTATTCACCTACAAATTGCAATGTCAATTTCACCTTATCGTTTCTACTAGTGCTAAATTTCTCTCTACGACTTTAATTCACACTGGAGAAAATTGGAGTGAATAAACTGGAGACGAATCAGAGACATGCTCTGACTATTCACGAACAAGGAGCCTATAAAACAATTCATATCCTGAAAATCATCAAACATTAAGAGTGTGTTTGGTAGGAATTTTTGGGGGAAGAATTGATTTTTGAATAGTGATATGATGGGAAATGTGTGGTTGAAAAAGAAGAAAAAAGTATTNTAGTGATATAATGGGAAATGTGTGGTTGAAAAAGAAGAAAAAAGTATTGATGTGATGAAAAATATTATTTTATTGAAGAATGTGTGGTTGAAAATGAGAATTGATTTACTGTAGAAAATGAGAATCTGTACCAAACAGGTTCTAAAAACCCTAATTGAGAAACAAAACTCAAATAAATATAAAATAATATCAAGGCACTGAAAGGTTTTGCTCCA